CGTCGTCTCTGGGGATTGCTGGCGCTTTTGGATTGCCTGGCCACGGCCAGCCGATGCATGGCGGCAACGTGTTGCTGGTGTCGAATTTGAGCGAGGACCAGGCGTCGCCGGATGCGTTGTTCACCTTATTCGGAGTCTATGGCGACGTGCAGCGTGTCAAGATCTTGTACAACAAGAAGGCGAGGAATATTTGAAAAATTGCAAATTTATAATTTGAATCGCGAATATTGAATGCTGCTTTTTCGTGATAAGGCCGGGAGATAAATCGTTCGTAGAAAGAACTTCGCGGTGGCGGTATTGTAAGGGGTGCCTCGAGAAGTGAATCAAATTTATTTGGTGGGAAATTTATATGTTTCCTGGTGAATTTTTCTTACTTTGAAATTATGTTATCTCTGTAAATAACTCATTTCTGCGTGTTGATCTTCACGAGAATCTTCTAACATGAAACGGAGAAGTCGCGGAAGGTTTCTTGGTAAAGTAGAATCTGGTTATCAGGAGTTATTGGTTACGAATAATTTGGTTTTCCGGTCCCTCTCTAATAGCCACGAAATTATTTAAATTATAATTTAGTTTCAACTAATTTTTGCCTATGACGAAGCTTCCTCCAGGAAATTCAATTTTTTAGGGGGTTGGAGGATATATTCGATCCCTCGTGAGTAGACCGGCAAAAAGTTCGATTCCGCAAAAAATTCGATTATTTTTGATGGAGGAGAAAAAGAATTGTATGAATTTGGAGATATTCTGTTTTTTAAACTGCTTCTTGAATGGTTTGACGGGATGCTGAACTTAAAGGCAAGGGTTCATTTGCTCATTTAGTCACTCCCTTCCTTTTGAAAGGACATGACTGACATTTTTATGCTTCTCTATGTCCTGAGTCACGAAAATAATACCCCAAAACCAAAGTCCTCGAGTTCAGGAGTTCTGTATTTACCCGAGTACCACTTCCACCTTTTTCCGCGAATTATAGGCAAAAAAGTGGTATGCGAGCTTAAAGTTTTTGAAAAGATAAAAAATTGAATCATGAAACCTCTTGTGCTAGTCGTAAGGGATTATTCAGAGGATAAAATATCCAACCCAAAATTATGCTCGGTACTTATCTTCATGTAATTATTCAATTTCTTGTGTTATTTACAATTTTACATGACCATTCTTTGATACGTAGTTTTCAAAAAAAGAGATTTTGAACAGCAGAGAACTTTAGTGTGCGGGAATAGATTTATTTGTCGAATTCTATGCCAAAAAAAATTTAGTGTCGCGTGGTACTCGAGTAAATGCGGTAATTCATAGTACTGTATTTCGGTTTTTTTGAGGTGAGGTTATAGTTTTTGAGGTGCAATTTTTGGAGAAAAAAAAAACCCTCAAATAAGTAAAACTTGGCTTTTTTTCTCCTTTCGACAGGATTCCGCCTTGATTCAAATGACTGATGCGCACCAGGCACATTTGGCAATGACTCACTTGGACAAGGTGCAAGTTTGGGGCAAGCAAATCCGCGTCATGGCATCTAAACACCAACAAGTGCAAATGCCCAAGGAAGGTCAAACTGACGCGGCCGAGCTGACCAAGGACTATGCCAGCTCTCCTTTGCATCGTTTCAAGCGTCCCGGGTCCAAGAACTATCAGAACATTCACGCACCTTCACACACGCTACACTTGTCTAATATCCCGCCGTCGGCCGAGGAGGACACCATCAAAAGCGCGTTTGAAACGCACGGATTCTCCGTCAAAAACTTTAAATTTTTCCCGAATGATCACAGGATGGCGTTGATTGAGCTGGCGAGTGTAGACGAGGCCGTGATGGCACTCATGAAGCTGCATAATCATCAGTTGTCTGACACGAACCACCTGAGGGTCTCGTTTTCCAAATCGGTCATTAATCACTGAAATGGGGGGATTTCTTTTTTTTTTTTTGTTGAGCGGAATTTGGAAAAAGTTTTGACGGGATTCCGTTTGTGCTGCGTTTCGTTCTTTCTTTCTGGTGGAAAGCAAACGTTCGGTTTCTTTTTTTTGTTGGTCTGAGCGTATTTCTTCTGTTCTTATTTAATGTTTGCTGGTGTTTCCGTGCCGCATTTCGTTGGATGACGTTCGGGTTCTCAAGTTATTTTCCTCATTTGGATTTTTTTTTTTTTTTTGCTTCCTCGTCCTGGATGCGATTCAGTTTTGAGGTTGTGTCTCAAAAAATGTTTTTGGGAAGAGATCCTTTCGAACTTTCTTCAAAGTTTCGAGATTGTTCATGAGGTAAATTTAGACAAACGGGGTGCGCAGTTATGAGTGCTGCATTTTTTCTCCAGAAAGTGATGAAAGCTTTCTGGTGAAATCAATGCTTCTTGCGTTAGGCAGCCATTTGAAGACTCGCTGTTCAAAGATGTTGAGTGATGGGTATTCCGAAAAGAAAAGACAAGGAAGAATTTGTTTGGAGGAATGAGTGAAAGAACTTGTGAATGGGCCCGCAATGGACGATGGTTTCCTGAGTTGATGGAAAAATTTTCTCTGAAAGCTTTTTTGTGGAAGAACGAGGAAGCAATTAGTTTCGCAACGAATGGATAACTCAGGTTTTTTCTGGAGGAAGAAAAAAGAAAAAGGAAGAATCGAGGGTGAGATGCCGCGTGTTTTTTTGTAAATTTCGTGGGGGGTTTGTAAGGAAATTTTTGTTTTGTGTAATAATTTGTATTTTCCCCCTCAAGAAAAAAGGGGGTTGTATGTAAAGACGGTTTGGCACAAGGTTACAAGTTTTGGTCTCCCTTTGCATGGGAGAAACCCCACGTCCTCCCCCTTTTTTCTTTGTGTGCGAGGGTTTTTAACGGTGAGCGCGTGGAGAAGTTTTTGTACATGTTTTTGAGGCGTAGAAACGGGGGCGAAACAACAGTGAAGAGAAAGAGAGCAAAAGTCGACCCCCTTTTCCCGCTCGAGACCTTTGGAAGAAAAGCGGAAAATCGGAAAAAAAGAGCAAAAAGATTTTCAGTGGTTCAATTCTGTGCTGAAGTCCCCTGGGCTCTTTTATTTCTGGGGGTGGGTGTTGCGCGCTTTTTTTTCCCCCTGGGCAAAAATCCACGTCAGGCAGATTTCAAGAGAAAGGAAAGCGGATTTCCTTTTTTGGGTTCAGGAGAAATCTTGGAAGACGACTGTCATGTGAAAACGGCTTGATATTTATAGAAATCCAGGAAGCGATTCTCCTGGAACCCATTTTTAATTCTACTGGTATTGTGTCTTTTGGACTCATTTCTATGATAGACTGCATTCAATGTCAGAAAAAGAAAATCCCATGCCCATCAGAGGAAAAACGCGCCCTTTGTCCACTCTTCTGCGTTGCTGCTCCTTGTAAATATGAGTTCTTGCTGTTCCTCTTACCCTCTTGTATTTAACTGCTTGTTTCAGTCTGTTTCTTGAAGGAAAAGAAAAGCAAGGAAATGAAAATGTCAACTGACGTCTGTGTGGCCTGTTTACTTCTGTTGTTAATCTTCAAGTTTTTGTTTACTTTGTGTGTAATTGCAGGTTGTAGTTCCGCGTGGTATTAGCGGAATCGTGTCTTCAGTGAAGATATGGTGATCTCATTCGCATGCTTGAATGTTTCAGCGTTTTTTGTTGATATATTCATGTCCATGGTGCAAGTGTCGGATTTTATTATGAATCCGTTCAGTTTTCCCGCTTGCATGCTGCACGTGTCGACTGGTTGACCGTATTCCGAAGGTTGAAGAACTTCACTGGGGTACATTGGTCGCAGGCTCGTGTCCGTGCCGCGAAGATTAAAGCTTGCTACCGGATTTAACTCAATTTTTCAGTGACTCACGATTAACATTTTTATTCATTTAAATTTCATTGGGCAATTTTGAGTGTTCGTGAGTAGCCATGATGCGGATGGTGCCGTAGCTGCCCATTTGAATTCCGCGATGGTTTATGCGGTTACTGTAGTCCGACGTACAGTACTGTATTTGTAACTTTAGTTATCATTTTCAGTTAAAACCGTTGTAAAGAATATGTATAGCGTTGTCATGCCCCCTGAATGTTCTATTCGTTTTCCGTTTGTTCTCAAGGTTGTGTTCATGTATATTTTGTTACCGTAAGATTATTTTTGACAATTATGTCGCGGGGAGCTTCGAAAGTCGGAGTGGATGCCTGCGGCGATTGTGATGCACCGGGTGAGATTCACATTCCGATATTTATAAAATACCACTTGAATATATTCTGTTCAGTTTTTATGCGTGTATGTGCGAGGATATGCTTTTCATCAGTACTGTACTTCGCTTTTTCGAGGAATCCTTGATTTTGATAATTTAGCTTTACGGATTGATGGTAATTCAATTTGATCATTATGCCTAGATCCAACGTGGGCTTCATTGAACCGAGGTCTTTTGTTATGCACGGAATGCGCATCGGCACATAGATCACTCGGGAGGCACATTTCTCGGATCAAATATTTGAAACGGGGCTTCTGGAGTGCGTCACAACAGAACGTGAGGCTTTCGATTTCGTTTATTGCCTGGGCATGTTTTAGGGACAAATATCCTATCATGAATATTTTCAAATTATTTTTGTCTTTACTTCAATTCTGTATTTTATTGAGACAGTCGTTCGGTTCTCGCGACTTCTTGAAAAAATCCTCTCAATATTTTGCGGCTCCGAAATTTCTATCAGATGGTTATTTCCTTACACGCTGACGGATTAGCAAATGCAATTTGGGAGCATGTACTTCATGAATCTACCAAGCTGACAATACCGAGATCCAGTGCGGCCTCGCGAAAACCTACGCCCCATTCTCCTTTACCGTAAGTTACGAAAATTTTCATATTTTTTGAATTCCGGTTTATGTTTTCCCTGAGTTAATGGTTCATGTTTTGCAGGATAAAGGCTGAATTCGTATTGAATAAACACGGCATGAGTGCCTTCGCTGTCAAGTCTGATATGAGGGTTGAAAATGGAGATGAATTGAGTAGGCAGCTTTACGCAGCTGTGCAGACACCGAATTTGGAAGTCTCTCTTCGATTATTATATCTTGGCGCTGATCCTAACTACTTTCATCCGGTAAGCTCTCTTCAGAATAAAATGTAAAATTTTAGTGAGTGACTGACTTATTTTATTTTCTCGAAGTCCACGTTGAATTGTCCGGTTCACGTTGCGACGAAGGCTGGGCAAGCGGACCAAATCGAACTTCTGGTCGTTTACGGAGCTGATGTCACTGTTCTTGATGGAACTAATGGAAAGACCCCGGTGCAAATAGCGAGGTTTGACCGAATTTTATTAATGTTTGGTCTTTTAATACTACACTGTATTACTGGGCTCCGATTTAATTTTATCCTTCAGGGTCTCCTTTTCCTTTTGTCAGTTTCGTTGAAAATTTGATGAAGTTGCTGGAAGTTTCCAATTTTTAAAGCGTTTTCGTGCATGGATTTTATTGACCATCACCGTGTTACAACAGAATAAAGAAGTGAATCGTGTTAAAACCTGCCAAGTTGAGAACGAGGAGTATAAAATATATTTTTCAGCAAACCCAATTTTTTAAGGTACAGTCGAAAGTCAAGGGGCCAAGTTACATTTTTATTACTTTTCTTTTTCCTGTGGCTCCACCGAAATAGCCCAATGACTCTAGAAATTTCGAGTTGTTGCGGTTTGAGGATTAAAGCCTTCGAGTAAGAGGTTATTATTGTATTATTATCTCATGGAATTTAGGCAGGGACTTCAAAAAATTCGACTCGGAAGGTTTCAAGTTATACAAGTTCGAGCAACTTTTTATTTTCAAGTACTTCGTTGCGACGACAAATCGAGCTATAAGATTGAAAATTTTATTTAGAGCGTTGCTCAATTTTTTAATTTTAAGCTCTTGAAATATATCTTTGCGTAAAAATTCGTCCAACTGTTTGTGCTCCACTCTGCATAATTCGAAGGTTTTTATCCTGACCTTCCCTGAAATTAAAATCTTTGTTCCTCTTGTTCTGTTCAATATTCAGAGATTCAGGAGACGCAAAACTAGTCTTGAGACTAGAAGAGCTCGAGTATGAAGTCAGCGACCGTCTCGCTTATTTCGTATGCGGGAAAAGAGCTGATCACGTGAATGGTCAACACTTCACGATTCCTCAGTTACCAGGAATGACAACATTGCCTCCGGAAAGTGCAAGAACTGCTAGGCAGCGTTTGCAAGAGGTCAGTCGACAAAGCAAAAAAAATGTCTTATATTTTTACCGTATTCGTGATTTCTCGTTTTTGTCCAGCTTTCCAACATAAATTTATCGCACTTGGCGTTGGACTTGCAAGACGAAGTGGATAGGCGTGAACTCGAGTCAGGTACAGTATTTTGTGCTTTCTTGGGAACTAGAAGAAATGTTTCGAAATTGTGATGAATTTTTGACTTGAGCCTCGTTTGGGCGCCCTTCCTATTGACGAGTTTTTCTATACAGTAAGTGGAACCTTTGAGTTGAATTTCAAGGGATCAGCGAAAAACTTTGAGTTAGGGAAACAAGGATTTTTGTTGGGTGAAAAGTAATAAAAAATGACAGGAAATTGTAATTGATTCTATTCTGGACCTGGAATTGATTCCTGAATGATTTGACAGAATGCTTAAGTTTAAGACAAGGGTTTATTTGCCCAATTATTAATTCATATCCTTTGAAAATATATCAAGTTAAATGTTTATTGCTCATCTCTTTCCTGTTTCAATAAAATAAAAAGTCAAAAGCCTTCTTTGACTTCTTCGATTCATAGTAGTTATAGAGGTTTTTAATGCATTGTTCCAAACGGAATTGAGGCAAGGACTTGGAAATTTCTACAAAGAGAGGTTTTCGACCTGTTGAGTTTTGGTTGATCGAGGTTGAACTGTGTTATATTTTTATTGTTGTTTTTACAGTTCAAATGTCGCTGTCGACAACAGTGCGTGACGTGATATCCGTGCCTCAGCTGCCGTGGCACCCAGGAGTGTCGAAGGCGAGAAACGAGTCCCGTCAGCGTTTGGCGTCACTGTCACATGCCAATTTGTGTCTCCTCATCATTGATTGCCTGGCGGAGGCGAAACGGCGTCGGGACACAGCCCGTCTTGGTGCGAGTCAATCTCAGACCTTGGAGATGAAACGTGGCGGACTTCCAGATGCCAAGGGCAATGTCGTCGTCGTGAAAGGTGGTTGATGATGGATTTTTTTCAAGTGCTGGATGTTCATTATTAATTACGATGTCATTTTTATGGGGTCTTGAAAAATAGAATGCAAATCATTTACATTTTATCAAGTATGAAACAGATACAGGGGGACTATCTTTACAACGAATTCCGAGGGACAAGAAAGCAATTCTTTGTAGAGATCTATAACTGTGTTCCCCAACCTTTTTGGGCCCGCAGACCAGAAAATTTTTATAAAATTTAAAATTTTTCCCAGTCGAGCAAATTTCCCGAAAATTTTCTGTGGACTGGCAAAGTTTCATAAAATTGTCTGTGGTCCGACAAGTTTTGCTTGAAAGACTGTATGGCAGGAATTTCAAAAGTTTCTGTTTTTTGCAAAAATCAAGAACCAATGAATCAGCTATAATGGAATGTCTTCATAAAAATTGAAAAGATTGGCTTGAAGGAAGGTTTTTGAGAATGAAAAACTTGAAATTTATTGTTTCAGTGGGAGAGAATTTGTATGAAGTGTAATCAATAGAAAAGCCCACTTTTTATTTTTCAGCAGATAATTTCAACTGCGATTGTCTTCCCAGAATTTCGAATAAAGATAACAAACTTCATGACTACTTTTGGTAAATTTAGTATGCTCCAGAAAATTTTCTGTGGACTGGAAAAAAAGTCTGCTGACTTGTGCTTGTCTGAGGACCACGGGTTGGGGAACACTGCCCTATAACATCGGTAGAGAACCTAATAGGATAACAAAATTGGTTATACTTTCAGAGAAAATCAATCTAGAGAGAGAGAGAGTCCATCTGTTGATTGAGTTAACCTGGAGCGGATTTCTGAAATCTCCTCATTTCTGAAAAATGAAAATTGTCGACTCTGCTTTCGTGATGTGATTGATTGACTTTTTCCTATTTCAATGAAGGTTCCACATGGTCGGCGTCGTCGCAACGAGCTCATTTATCGTCATATCATCCTATGGAAGACGGTGACGCGGACTATGATGAGCCATGTAACGACTCTGTCGCTTCCGAGGACGATTACGCCATTGTGGACAAGGAGAAAAAACTCTCGATTCGAAGCTCGATTCCACCAAGAGCGGAACCAGTAAGTCGTTTGAAATATTGAACGATCGATTTTTTAAAAGTTGATTTTGCTGGAGCCAGCGAACAAATACTCAATTCAAAATAATTGTGGGAGGGTTGTTTTTTCTAATGCGTCACTATTTTATTGCTAGCTGAATCAAAGGGGCGATAATGTGGACAAACAAAGGGTTGTGGTGCTGGAGGCGAAGCTGAAGGACTCTCTGCGCACGATTGATGAACTGATGCTGAATAATCGACAATTGAATGATCAGGTTTCTGCGATGCAAAGCAGGGTGAGCAATTATTTTTGTGTGTGTTGACAAATCACGAAAGTAGGGACCAGGAAAAAGTTTTGATTTAGCAGACAAATTTGTTTTGAAAAAACTTGAACAACATTGTGACTATTGGTCGGAGACCTTACGAGTTGATTATTTTTAAGCTGCGGCTCGTTTTAGAAAGAATATGATGTTTTGATTACAGTGGGGACTTGACATACAAGGTCACTTGAAACTGAGAAATAATATGCCCTGACATCCAGACGATGTCTCAAGATATGGACACTTGGCTAACGTTTCCAAAAAAATGTATTTTTCATAATTTTGACATCTAAAACGAGTTAGGGCATTCAAATCAACACAAATTAAAATTATTATTTTTCATCTATTCAAATTCATATCCCAAATAAAGCAAAATTTGTGCTTTTTTTCAGATTTTTCCCCCGTCAGTACAGCGTAAATTGTGTTTGCTGTTTGGGCTCCTTTCCATGCAAAAATATTTAAATATCAGATTCTGTGGTTTTCTTTTGCACAGTTATGTTCTGCATCTGTTAGTTGAGAAAAAAAATCTCAATTTTTTGGGAGGACATTTTTGTATGTTTTGATGGCCGGAAAAAAAAACAGTTGAATAGGTTCCCATTAAAAATCTGTGGGAACAAGATTAAACTTTTGAATATTACAGTATGACATTAAGAAAAGCTCACTGTAATTTCAAATTGCTCACTGTAAATGCTAGATGTTGCGATTTCAGAAGAATGACTGTGGTGACACTTGCATGGAAGTGAGGAAAGCTAGAATGGATGCGGAATATTGATTCATGCGACACCTACCTGACAATGCAAAAAATTATATTGAATGTGTTTTTCCACGTGTTCAACATAGCCTTCTGCTTTGTCAGGCAGGTGTCGCTTGAATCCCTTTCTCGACCAGCTATAGAGAATCGTTCTCCCCGTATGAAATACTGTATATTCGATTATTTTCAGATTCATCAGTTGCTTAGTGAAAACCAGTCTTTGAGAGGAAGACGAGGCGGATCAGCGGAACCGGCTTTTAGCGACGAGAAGCGGAATTTATGGCAGAACTCGCCAGTGACTTCGCAATATTTCCGCCAATCGGGCACATCTTCAGACATTCCTCATCCGCACGGATTCCTCTCTGGCCAATTTTTGTCTAGTGATGGCTCGAAAGCCGGGGCCACTGGTGTTCAGCGGTCGAATAGCCTTCATTTGCATCAACCTAGACCCAGTACGATGTTCGAAACAACTTCACCGAAAGTTGGACTGGCGGACGCTGATGTAAGACCCTTCTATTCTGCTCATTTTGTGCTTCAAAAATGCGAAATAAAGTATGGAACGTAAGACTCGAATGTAAGACGCCCTTGAGTCTTGTTTTGCTCTGCAGAACATAGTGCACAATTTTAATTTTTTGTCGAGTTCAGTATTTTGGTAAAAATTTGCAAATAAGCGATTTTTATTCGCCTGCATTGTCAAATCGGCTATCGTTTTTTTTTTTAAGTTTTTAAAATAATGTGAGTTAGAAGCAAAGGTACAGTATTCGAAAGCTGCGTAAGTGCGATTTTACTGTGATATATTTCAAGCTCCCGTGAGGAGTACAGCATTAAGTGAGTTCAATCATTTTTTTATTCATCGCAGAAAGCTGGCGGCACTTCTTCGGATTCATTGCCTTCTAACGAAGAAGTTCAGAAGGCTATTCGTCCTGTCACTTTGGGACTCCAGGAGGTGACTGCTTTCATCAAAACTAAGTGTGATGCGAAACAAAGGGAAGATAACGATGCCGAGGTCTTCAAGCAAACTGTGCACAAGGTTCACCAAGCCGTGATGAATTTGATGATCGCTTTTCCCAAGGTTTGTCTTTGATTTTACAGATACACTCAGTTTTTGTAGACAAAACTTATCATTCTTTGTAAAGAAGTCCGCTGAGAACAGGAGAAAATATCCTTGTATGATGAAATTCGCGGTTAACATTAAAATTTCTACAAGGAGTTCATTGTTTTTCTCCTCTTCACCCCATGGTCGAAACATGCTTAAAATACCTCAACTAATTCAAATGAAACCGAACTTGAGCCAACTGAAGCGTAACAGAATTTGGGCGACACCTGGATACATTCAATAAATTAAGAAGATTTTGGACGTCCGGTGTTTTATGTGGAAAAATGCAAATACTGTATACAGTACTGTTCAATACTGTATTAGTTAGCTTTATGTTTCGTACTTTGAAGTTTCTATTATAATTGGTCCAAAATTTCCCATTACAGTATTATCAATTATAGTACTGTACACATATACAGTACTTACAAAACTTTTTGATAAATTTATTCCCACCAACGATGCGGACTCCCTTTTTCCTCTCAAGTTTTTGAAAAAAAGACGCATGTTCTTGAGTAATACTTTTTCTCATTTTCCTTAATTTTCTTTCAAATTTCGATTCTGAGTCTTCTGACTCAAAACTCGTGGAAATTTTATTTGGATGTTCGGTGTTCAAGTAGAAAAGGGCAATTATACAGTACAGTATTGTTGGTTTTAGGTGTAATTTTTTTTTTTTTAATATGTAAAATAATTTTTTTATGGAAGTTAATTTTATCGTCCGCTTAAGAAGATTGCCATCGCCATGTTTCTGCATGTTTGCGATGCAGAATCATTGAACGAATTGTATGCTGGATGCATTTTTAAAAAATTTGCGGATTTTGTATCTTTTCAGCCACCAGTGGAAGGAGCCATGAAGGACGCCACAAAGAAGCTAATTGCTGCTACTTCAAAACTGATGGACCTGGGTGATAATTGGGGAGAAAACGTGTCGGCGCCGTTGAAATTCGACGTTGCCAGTTTGCGTGATTCCGTGATTTCGTGTGCTTTCGAAGTGGCGAAGGCTACCAAGGAAATATTCACCTTGGTCGAGCAACAAAGAGTGAAGGAGCTTAGAGAAATCTAACCAAAAAGAAAAATGTACTTCCATAATTACCTGAAACATTCCGTTTGACGGACCTTAATTTTTTTTCGTGTCAAAAGGCCAGCAATTTATTAGCGTCACACATTCCCCCGTCCTTATCACCAAGTGTGGAAGTTTTTTTTTTTTTATGTGTTATTTTGTGCAGCTGGGAATCGCGAATGAACATGTCATTTTTTCTGAAATTTGCCTTCTGATTAATCATTTCTGTCTTATCCGATTTGTGCGAATTCCCTTTGCTGATTTACAGATGGAAGAGTTGTTGAAAGGGTGTCTCGGTGTGAAGACGGTTCGTGCAACTGGAGGTGGAGGCGGTGGATGCATCAACGACGGAAATATTTATGAAATTGATGGAGGGAAGACAATATTCTTCAAAGTTAATCACAAGGATAAGGTGAACTCACGAGCTTAATCTTAGCGATGTGGGGAATCTGGTGAAGGGTCTGTGTCGTTGACTGCATTTTATTTCTCTTCGTTACAATGTTGTGGATTTGACTTCTTAATTAGTATGCATGAATTACTTTATCAGAATACGGCTCGTGAATTAATCATGATAAATTTTTAGCTGTAAATTTTCTGAAGTTTACGTACAGTACTTGAAAACTAGGGAAAGCAAAACTGAATCATTAATGTGTTTATTTGAGTGCCACATGCTCTTGAGGAAGAAGTGCACCAGTGTTTTAATGTCCAAAAATGTTGACAAAATAGTATCCCCAGTAAGATGTGCACCCCATTTTTTTTTACTAAAACTGCAATATGTAAAAAATAAGGACACCCAATCAAGTTCAAATCAAGACATGGCTTGAACAGGAATTAACTAATTTTCAATTTTTTCCATTGTAATCTGATTTTCTGTTATAATTTTCCCAAAATACTGATTGGAATCAGATATAATGCACACTTAAACTTCTAAAAGTTTTTGAGCAATTCATACCCACCCATGATGCATACCACCCTCTTTCCTCTCAAATTTGAGAATATAAAATGATGTGTGTGGTACTTGAGCAAATATGGTAATTTACCATTTCCCTCAAATTTCTTGAAAATTTCAGTTTTAATCCAGAACTTGCCAAAATTATGGCATATTTTGGATGATAAATATTGAAAACAATTTTTTATGAAAGTCACTTTTATCTACATGAAAATATTGAATCTTTTGCATATTTGCAATGCAGAATTATTTTTAAACTTTTTTTTAATGAATTATCAAGCTACTGTTCACTGAATGGATAAACACATGTTCAAACATGAGTTATTTAAAGTGCTCTGAAGTCTAAAGGCTTCAGTATTGTATTATGGGAACGGTGAAGAGAAAGAAGAAATTATTAAGCTGGTTAGAGTCGTGCTCATCTAGATGTCGCTTCTTAGTAGTGCTTTCAAAGAACCCTAAGAACTACATTGTGTGTTGAAGCGTTGTTTCATTCAATTTTTATTCATTAAAAATTGTGTCAATAAAAATAGGCGAAACTAATGTTTGAGGGAGAATTTGAAGGACTGAAAGCAATGGAAGCAACAGAAACTGTTCGAGTTCCTCATCCCATACAAGTGGTGGATATCCCACCGAAAGGAGCCGGACTAATCATGGAGGTCCTAAGCTTTGGCGGACGCTGTTCCAAGAGCCTCCTCGGTCGTCAACTTGCAATGTTAGTCAGCGAATTTAATTCTAAGACCATGTGAAATTACTTTCTGATTTATGTAATCTTCCTTCATTTCCAGGATGCACAGACACAATCGAGATTTAAAAGCAAAAAGTGAGGCATCCGAAAGTCACATAACCAAGGAGCGGATCGCATTTGTCGACAAGTTTGGGTTTCATGTTCCTACGTGCTGCGGTTATTTGGCTATGGATAACACCTGGGAAGACGATTGGATAGTTAGCATTGCATTAAATTGAATTTTTTTACTTTTTCAAAATGCAATTTGTATACAATTTTCAGACATTTTTTGCGCAGAGAAGACTGCAAGTGCAGGTTGATATGGTCTTGAAAGAGGTTTGTGATATGCTCTTTTTTACTGCGAAGTGTCAAATTTTACTGCGATGAATAACTTTTGATCAAGTATGGAGACCGGGAATGTGCTGAACTTTGGTCCAAATTGTCAATCAAATTGCCCACATTTTTCTGTGATTTGCAAGTCATCCCAAGTTTGCTCCATGGAGATTTATGGAGTGGAAATGTTGGAAGTGCTGATGGTGTTCCAGGCAAGTGTCACAAATCTTTTTCTTTTTACAATAATAATCTTGACTACAAGAATTTTCACTGTACTGTACTGTATAAGAATTCTTTTGTCCCATTGGGTTCTCTTGTCCTGATGTTATAGGGTAATTTTACAAAAAGTTCTTTTTACTATGATTTTTTTTCTGGTCCCCTAGAGATTGTCCACCTGTGGCATACATTTTATGATCAATCAACATTTTCTTCAACTTGGCATTTATGTAAAAATTTTGCAACCTAAGTTGACCCAATAAGCTTGATGTCAGAGCTGAATAATTTACTTTTTCTGGATGTTCAACTTATCTTGGTTCCGTAGGAAATTTTTAGAAGAATTTTCTGATCCATTTTTATTTTCTTCCCCGTTGATGATTGCAGTGATATTTGATCCAGCCACGTTTTATGGCCATTCGGAGTATGAAGTTGGAATCATGAAAATGTTTGGAACTGGTGGATTTGGAACTGATTTCTTTGATGCATATTTTGAAATTTTACCAAAAGAACCTGGATTTGAAGAGCGTGTGCAACTTTATGAGCTTTTTCATCACCTAAACCATTGGTGAGACCTTATTTTCTTTAAATTGTGAAGAATGGAAAAATAAATGGGGAAAGTTTTTTTGGGTCTCCTGCAGGAATCACTTCGGATCAGGGTACAGAAGCGGAGCCCTTGGTATCATGAGAAAGTTGACAAAATGAGTATTTTTTGTATGCTTCATTTTATGAGATTTCATTTATGGATATTTTTTCAAGGAATTGGGTATTTGTTTATTTTGAGGTGCATGAAATGAATCTAACAGTTCATTTGATAATGGATCTTCTTATTCTACATGGAGAAGCTGTCTTGTTCATTGGTCCAAGCACTGGTTCTTTCCTGATACAGGTATCTGTTGGAATTAAGAGGTTTTGGTAACTCTGCGCCAGTTTTTCCTCTTTTTCTATTGATTGATGGTCACACAATTTTTTGAGATACTACCACAGAAAGATGTGTGCCCATTATTTTTCCAAATATATTTACTCTACGTGATTATCAAGTAGCATTTGGTTACAAGTATCAGTACAATTAGATTCAAAGTCAAAAAGTAAAATTAAAAATTGAGTTTGTTCATGAGAATTTGTCTTGGTATTAAATAATTTTCAGGTCCCAAGAACTGCTGCTGCTTTGTTGTAACAAAAATTTGCGTCTTCAAAGAACATTACTGAAGATTTGATTAGATAACATCAGTTTGTTTGGATGGCTCATTCAGCAAATGGTCATATACTTGAACAGTGAACCGAACTATTCCTACATTGACATACTGTATATCTCATTCAATGAATTTCAGAGAATTTTCAAAGCATTGAAATAATTTGGAACAATGATTGTAAAACCTTCATAAATCTAAAATTTGAAGTATGCATAAATAGAAGTATGCATCTTACAGGGAACACGTACTGCAGAAAGATCAGACACAATGTACGAAATGCTGATTGTATTTTACCAAGTTCTCCACAAGAAAATCACTTTAGTCCAGAAAATTGGTTTATTTGAGGGGGAAAACTAGCTCACAAAATGTTTTTTTCTCTTTTAAATGAATTAAGATTGTATCAATTCACTGAAGTTCAGATTCTATGCTAAACATATCAAGATTCCTGCTTATGCTATGCTGAATTCTAGTCATTGAATGTGCATTATGTTGCTTGATTAGACGAGGTGTGGAAACCATAGCTTGACATTAGTTCTCATGACTTGAATCTCGTTTGGATATATATTTCATATAAATGCATTAGAAACTATTTATTCTAATGCGTGCATAAAATTTCTTTCTAAAGCTCAGATAGAAAAACTCTCCAGTGCTCAAAATATTCTAAAAAATTAAAGCTTCTTCAAAAACCAAATAAAACCGAGATTGTCAATCAAAGATTGATCCGATCAACTAATTGATATTCTAACTTTGTCCAGCCTGTTGAATGATTTCCTTCTGTTCTCCGGGTTCTCCAGAGGATCTGTGCAGATCCAAAGCTTGTTTAACTTCCACGTCGTAGTCAATAGGAAGTGCGGAAGTGGATTCTTGTTGCAGTCTTCGAATGCCATCGATCACTGTGGAACACATTTTCTCCAGGTCATAGTCATGACTCCAGCCCCAGTCTCGACGTGCATTTGAGTCGTCAAACATTTTTGGCCAACCATCAGCTGAATAACACAAATACGTGCAAAGTGAAACATCAATAAAACACACAGCCCTTGATACTCGGAAAAACGTTCATTATAAGAGCAAAATAATTATTTATAATTAATTGATCATATTAATATAACATTGTGGCTAGGATAACATAAGAATTCATTTACTGTATTTAGAAAAATGTCATACTGTACCAGCATTTGTTGTAATAAGATTTTTCTCTACTGCAGTATATTTTGAATTATCTTCATTGATGTTTCAGTAGCACATGAAGAAGGCTGTTCCACCTACTTGAAATTTTTTCTAGGTATAATATACAGTTTTTTGAAGTAAAGTAACATAATACAGAATTTGGCTGAAAAATATATGAAAATAATCCAACTACAGTACAGTAAATTATGTGGAAGGAAAAGTTGTTGCAAAAAAATCAATCAAGAGAATCCCTTCATACAATAAAATTCATAAATGACATTATTTCCAACGAAAAAAAAACAATTTTAGCACTTGCGCATTCTTTTCAATTGCTGCTGAACATCGAAACATTTTAGAATCTTACCAATCTGCTGACGAGAATCCGGATTATAAGTAATCCTCAATTGTGGAACGAATTTTCTGACCATGTTGGCCAGTTGATGAGGGGTGAAACTCATTGCTGCAACATTATACGTCCGTTGTCTCAAATTTGCTTCATCAGTTTCCATCATCTTGAAAAAAAGTAAGGTTTCTGAGCCAATTATTCTGAAAATAAATGTTGTTAACAGAGCAGAAAAAATTCTCACCTCAGTCAAAGAACGCAAGCAGTCATCAATGTACATCATGGGTAACATTGTATCAGGTTTCAAGTAACAGTCATGATTACCAGTCTTCAGAGCATCATGGAAAATTTGCACAGCGTAATCTGCAACAGAACCACGGAAAAAATTAAGAAAAATTTGTCTCTACAGAATTTTTTTTCGTCACTCCCTGTAAAATGACCGTAATGTTTTTTTCAATTTCGTTTTAACAAATTTTTCCTTGTAACTTCAAACAAAACTATTTTGGGGTTTGAAAAATTAATATTCACATCCAGCAGAAATGTATATTTTCGCGTATTTTAAATCTTTTACGAAATTAATAGCAATTAAAATAATATGTTCATTATACCTTTAATAAATTAATGCTTACAACGAAGTTTTTTTGTCTATGTCCGATGGCCACAATGTTATTTTAATTTCATTTTACCACACTTTTTGCTTGAAACTTCCAGAAAAAATATTTGAGGGGTTGAAAAGTTGATATTCACATCCAGAAATGTACGTTTTCTGCATTTTTCAAATCTTGTACTGTAACAAAGATTAAAATAATAATTGCTTTATAAGAAATAAATGCTTATTATTTCAACACAATAACCAAATTATTTTTTCTGGTTCCTGTCCGCAAAGGCCACGTTTATTTTAATTTTGGTCCAACGAATTTTTGCTTGAAATTTCAAGCAACACCAAATTTGGGATCTTCACAAAAGTTAATGTATTACATCCAGAAATGAGTAATTTCCTCTCATTTTATATCTTGTACAAAATTAATAAAAATTAAAATGAGTGAAGTTCGTGAAGTTGATTCGAAGATTCCTCGCAGCTCTGTGACATTTCTGTCACTCCATAAAAAAAGAAGAGATACATCAGAACATATACAAACCAGTTGTTCCACCTCCAGGGGCAGTTTCATAGCTGATGACACCAGGGAATCGAAGACAACGGAAGTCCAGTCCATAACGTTCGTGGTAATACTCTCCAAGCAACTCGGTGTGCACCTTGGCGACTCCGTAAATTGTTCTAGGGCGCTGGATGGTGAAATCCTGGACATTCTCCAGGGGTGTTGTTGGTCCAAATGCACCAATGGTGGATGGTATGAAAACGCGGAGTTTATGAGTCCTGGACACCTCCAGGATGTTGTGGACTCCTGTGTATGAAAAAAAGTTCCATACTAGTAAAGAAAGGAAGAAAAAAAACACACCGGAGCTACACCTATTTTGTGTAACCTTCAGAACACTTTAATGCAGTAAAATCTTGTTGCAACAAATACCATTACAACAACATTTTCAGTATAATAATCTTTATAAGTCCCAACAGAAAGCACATGGAGTATGTGTTAATCATTATAACCAACTCCCCAGTTCCAGTATAACAAGCTCTTTTGAGGAATGTGCACTAGATTCTCCAGGTAGATATGTGCTGACTAAGGCAGGCACAGTCTGCAATTTCCATTCACAAATAATGTGGCTGACTGGTTCTTCAAGTTACACCAATGACAAACATGTTTTCAAGTGGTTCAACACATCATCCAAACAGAAAAAAAGATTTGTGCAACTGATGAAATGCATAATTGAAGGTAAAAAAAAAAATCGAATCACTCAGTTTTTTGAACAATAAAAAAATCTCAAAATGCTAGAAAAGCAAGATTTAGTTATTACAGCATTTGCAGGTCTGATGTGAAAATTTTTCCAGTAATTAATTTTGAAAATCTTTTTATAAAGTATTATCATGTGTAGCAAACCATTCCTGAAGTTCCCAGAAGTTTGTTGCAACAGGAGCACTATATGATGGACTTCATCTCAAAGTCTTTCCCTCAAACCTTGGTAACTCAAATTTTCTGGAGGCCTTTTGGCTATTACAGTACTGTATTTCATGGACACAGGAAAGATAAGCAATACAAATTTAATATGCATTTTGAAAGGAAGTGAAAGAATAATTGGGCAAATGAACCCTTGCCTCCAAGTTCAACATCCTTTCAACTCATTTAAGTAGCAATGAAGCCCAGCAAAATATAAACAATTACAATTTTCTGTAACTCTTCTGTTTTTTCCTAATGAAAAATGCCTGTGTCCCTTTACTTTAGTTTTTTCTGGTCCCTTGAAGTTTGACAGAAAAAGGCTTGAATTTCATATCTGGATAACGCTACATTATTCACATTATCATGATTATTTGTCAGAAGGATGCAAAAAAAGGAATTTACAAGTATAAGCTATTGAAGTTTCAAGGCATTTGAAAGAAAAATGGAAATGAAAATGCAGTAATTCACCTTCAATATTGACTTTCATAGCGAGTCTCAGGTTTTGCTCCCCTATAGCGCTCAATAAAGCGCTGAAGTGAATCAGCCAGTCAATTCGATGCGTAACGACGATGTTGTGAAGTCCTTCTCTGTCCAATATGTCAGCATACAAATAGGGTCCTGTTCAAAAATATTTGTTTCATTAAACATGAAATATTTCAATAATACACCGAGGATCATTCGTTCTCAATATTCACCGAAATATGTACTGAGGGATAGGCATTTACTTCTGTGCTTGAATTATTTTACAGAAAATGTCATTGTAATAAATCAATGCAGACCAGATGTCCTGATTTCTCACAGTAATCCTCTTTCCGGATAAAGATTTATTTTAGGAGCACGTGAGGTTATGAATAATATGTACGTTGAATTGTGCACGTAATGTTTTTAACAATTAATTTTAGCACAGCACCAATCCATAAAATAAATGATGCACAGAAAAAAAGACAAACCGCTTCGCATTATGTCAAGATCCGGCTTCACGATGTCAGACATGATGACATTATCGCTCCCGAACTTGGCACGCAAAATCTTCGCCAGACCTCGTCCCAACTGCCCGAGAGCACCTGGAAAATATACATTGGCGACGATTTCATATGACGCAAAATAATACTGTATCCCAGAATGCGTTTTGACCTTTATTGCTTACGTCAACATTTTGGCACACGAATGCGTCGGATGATCGTATGACGTAACCAACCAAAGAAAACGAAGAACGAGGTTAGAAAATATCATTCAGATGTTCTACTGGGTCAGAAGGTCAAATCGATTCGAAACACATGCTTCTGCACGCGGGTTCCAAAATGACGTGAGCAGCTCAACTGCTTCACTATACGCGTTTGAACTTGGAATTCATCAGTTTTTTTCGGATCTTAGCCAACGACGAAACTTAAAAACGCAATGCAAGTCACACGAACTTAACTTCAAACAAACAAAAAAAGTTTCAAAATTCAGGTCAAGTTAATACGGACTTTGTTTTCGGGTACTGAAATAAGAATTACTGCATAGCAATTCATTATAATTTCGCAAATTAGTCCACTATATCATCACCCGAAGGCGTCACTCAGATGAAATCGCCCAAAATTTTCCACTCACCAGTGATAAGAACCTTCGGTGGACCCCCAGGGTTTGTTGATAACGTTTTCCGGAAATTCGCTTCGCCAACAAATGATCGTGGCCCAAGAATCGCAAAACATGCTGCATTTCGACCCACTTGTCGCATCCACGATGCGTTCATCTTTTATATACCCTATATCGTATCGAAAGCAGCTTTGCGCAGTTGATAAACCGGAAAATCAACTCGAGCTCGAAAGAGAGAACACTCATCAGAAAAGCGAAAGATTACATATACGGAGGTTATTTCGAAACGAAGGTCAATCAATTCTGAGTACTAGGAAGTAATCCGACAACCCGGAAACCCGTTCCTCACGTATACAACAGCAATTCGCAATAACCGCTATTCCACCGAGAGGGACGTTGAGTTCATGCATTTCATTTTTTGCATTCATTCATTCCCGTGAGCATTGATTTGATTCTGAATTAAGTTCGGTCGTCGTGAAATTGGCAAAGGAAGGACAGTATACTTGCAGGAGTATATACTGCACTAGATCAGTTTCACATTTGATGACACCTAATATAAATCAGCAGATGGCGTTCGCGAGGGAAACTCATGATTTGATTTATCTTCAATATAAACCGTGAAAAACTCATGACCATTCCACCATCTGTAATTTCAGTTCAAGGACACAATAATGAGAATCCCGAATTCTCCCGGAAGTGTTGATGTTGACGGGAGATACAGCCAGAAAAAGAAAAATCAATACTCTTAATTTAGAACACATCAGTTATATGGTATTGCGTCTCATATATACAGTACAGTTATTCTCGTGCTCGGGTGCGGTAAGCGTATCACTTAATTGGATTATAATCACGTAAAATCACACACTGCGTAAAATATATCGAGATTCGCTCTGCAGCAAACCTTTTCAAGATGCACCGCAACACGACTCGGAGTCCACAGCTTCACGAACCCACAATGCGAACATGAGCTGCCTCCGAAATACGAAGGAGCAGTGAAATTTTGGAATTCGCAACGGATCTTCGAAACACGCTTGATTTTACTCAACGATCAGGGAACGCACTCACACAATACTGTATTTGGAACTGCTCCCTGCTGGTGAAACCGGCAAAGAACCAAATAAGGGCACATGGGTTCTGCGCAGTGAAGCTTTCAGCAAGGAATACCAGAGTCTGCGCTGTGCTGCCGGTCTAACGAGAACTATATAGGCTTCACGAAATGCGTCAACCCGCAAGACAGTCCCGACAGGGATGACCAGAAATTCCCCGGCAGGGAGGGTTCAGAGAAACGCGCGGGCTTCTGAAGAGCATGAGTTTGACGTACCGGACCTATGACGGGCTGTTCGCAAATACTGTACTGTAAAGTGCAGTACTGCAGATTCCACAGTGACAGAAAGTTTCAGCTACCCAAATACAGTACTAAACGCATGTAGTGAAGCAAATTCCTGAAAAGTTGAATGAAAAACAGTAGAGCAATAATCAATCAGTTTTTGCATTTTCTTGTGAATAACTACAGGAGTGGGGAGCTATTTTTGCTATGACCCCACAGTGGGTGCACACCAGGGTCACAACTTGAGCATATGGGAATAATGGGATATTCTTGGGGTACAAGTGTGCACTCCTGTAGAGGAAATTTTGCTACCATTCCAGGGTTACACTTGGTGCACAAATGTGAAATAACAGGAGCATCACACAAATGCACCAAATGTGACCTTGGTGTAACTTATTTGTTTACAAATGTGACCCTGAGTAATCCTGGTGTGAACACACAATTGGCGTGCATTGGGTATATGCATGTGCAACAGAAGAACTTTGGTACAATGTGCACAGCAGGGTCACTGTGTAGAATTACAAACAAATCCCCAGTGTGCACCAATTTCCCAACTCCAGTTACTGAACATGAAATGGAAGTTGGTTTTTCATTCCAGATATGCTCATATTTTAAGAAATTCTGTCTCAAGAAAGAAGCCAAACAAATAAAGATGCTGGTGAGAGGTCTGAAAACCTGAGAGTGTAAAGAGGTTCTCTCCAAAATCAGTTCTTGCACTGCTCCCAAGTTCCAACAAGAAATTCTATATGAAACCTTCCTGTTTTCTTTGTACGTGTATATTCTCAGACTCCGACCCATTTTGAAGAACAAAGAATATAAAAAAAATCAGTCTTGAAATTGAAACAATATCACAGATAGTTTCAGGGTTTGTTCACTGCACCACAAGCTCTTGCAGTACCATCCTGCGGGGAGCCACTGTTGTCATTAGTGCTGACTCTGATGGATCTGGTATAAAGACTTTGTCCAAAGTAAGGCCACAAGGTTGCTAAAGCAGCTGGGGTATTGTCTTCAATGGTTGCTGTGCCAGAATCATCTGCAGTTGCTGAGGACACCAGAAACCCTCCATTGGTTGCCTGAAACATGCATTACTCTGATTGTGTGGTAATTCCAGTAATGAACTCATATTATAATGACAAGTTCTAGTAGATTTAAAAATTATNAGTAGTTGTTTGGGTTCCCTGCCTTCTGATGCATCTGTTCATGCATACAGAGCAGATAAAAGAAACAAATCTTCAAGTTAAGGTAAATCCAGAATAGTTTTAAGGTTTCATGTTATGATTAAACATAGAAAGGCAACCAATTCAATTTTTTATTTCCAATGTGATGGTTTACAGTCCAGTGCTGTAGTGTTGCATTTGTATGGCCAACAGCACATACATAATTAAAATTTTAAATACTCTACAGAAGATGTTGCCATTGGTTCTCTTAAAAGGACTGAGATTCTTTGCTGACTTGTCCTATTGTAAATCAATGTCTCAAAGTGTTCAAATTTGTCAGGCAGACAAAATTTTTAAAATGTATTAAATATGATTTCAATAATTTTCTCACAACATTTTTCCAATCATTTTTGAGCTTTTTACTGACATTATTTTGAAAAAAAAAGATAAAATATTTACAGTGGCAAAATGCTTGTCCCAATTCAGTTCAAAATTGATAAAAATCAAAAAGATTAGATTATTAAATTTTACCATTTTTGTTGGTCAGTCTTTAATAACTGCATAAATGATTTCAAATCCCTGCTCCCCAGGTTCTCTCAGATCATGAATTATATATTGAGGTTGTCAACACTGAGTTACAATTTTGAAAATATTATTAAATTCCCTCACTTCAGCAGAAGTTTTCCAGGTGAGAAACTTTCCTTCTGGCAACGGATAAATATAAATCTATTTGATGATAATTTCCAATACTGGTAAATTTCACTAACTTAAAAATTTAATTTTAGCAATCCAGGATTAAAGCTTGACCTGATTGAAGAAATTCTTCTGCATCGTCATCAGCATTTTGCAGGTGCCACTGAAAGTCAACTGCAACTTCATCTTCAGGAACAGAACCACTTTCAAAATAACTGAAAGGGATTCCTTCCACTGATGCAAAGAAAATAACCAAGCACCAAGAACAAACGCGTTTCCACATGACTAAATTCTTTGAAATTTGAAAAAAAATGAGAAAATTTTTCACTGTTGATCTGATGGACCTCATGCAAAGAGCAGCTGCAAGATCACTGATGACTCTGACTTTCTAAAACTTTCTTTGTGACCATGTATCAGAGGTTGAGTCCACTTTTGCTCCAGCAGAAGGTTGTCATTGGGGGATGATATGAAACCGGTTTGATCTATCTGTCAGAAACAGTATACTGTACTGTATTTGAGTTGTAAGAAAATTTTACTGTACTTAAATTTAAAATACTGTACTTGGATCCATTACAAAATGCTTATGAAAAAAACCAAATGTTCCATCAGCTTGTATCCACTGATTTTAACAGGGACTGCGCAATTCACTTGAAAGGATTATTTGGCAAAATGAACTGCGGAAATTCAAAATTGGGAACCAAACTAAAATTGTAAAGGCTTGGTTTTAAATACTATAGTAAAAAAATTAGGAAACAGTAAAGACGATTAGTTTTGCCTTGTTTCAGGTCACTCAGAAAGATGTCACTATAGTTATACCTGCTGTCCTTAATTATTGAGGACTGATGTACCAATTAAATTTTTTATTAAATGACTGACAAAATTCAGACACTAAACTTTTCAATTCTTGAATTTTTCCAAAACCACATAAGAATGAACTCAGAACAACGGCTTAATGTATATAGTGTATATTGCAGCTAGAGACAAATGTCAAGTGACGGCTTTCTTTTTGAAATTTAATTTTTCTCCTGATTTTCTCTTTCCTTACTCACTGTTTCTTCGACGTGGCGCGAGTTTTTTTTTCATACTAGGTTGTGCGGTTTTGTGAAGCACGATTTCTATTTTTTTTCTTCTTTTCATTGACATAATGTTCCTTCTCGTCTGCACCATTTATTTATACGAAGGATTAATTATTGTGATTTTATTTGTTTTTGCATACACGTGATAATGTTTGAATTTTGTTCAATTTATTTATAGGCTTACAATTTTGTTTCAATTGATATTTCATCAGAATAGGGATTCAAATAGTCATATTGCATGAAAAAAATTATGCAATTTTTTCCAAGTCCAGGAGAATTTTTTTTCCTTCCACTTGTGATTTGTAGGGCATATATTTTTTTACAAAGTTACACTCAGACTCACTGGCGCAATTGGACAACAGCAACTAATGTATGCATACTGTTTTACATTAATATACCATGCATGCAAATTGTTTCAATTATTGCATGTCAGGAAATGAAGAGAGGACATGTACCATACCTCATTTTTCTTGCATTAACAGGGGGTACACAATACACTGAATACAGTACAGTGGATGTCTTATGGACAAGTTTTGATGGGTAAAATATAATACCCCTAAACTCTATAGGTTCCATTGGGAAAATCGGAAAAATCTATTTGGTTACATCAGAACCAAAAAAAGCACTGTATTTACTCAAGTTCAAGTACCAAACAATCTCAAGTAAGATGTAGACCATGATTTTGAAGACAAAAATTAAGGTAGAAAATTTCTGCATTAGGTGCAAACTCGGATTTTTGATGATCAATTAATACAATCCTAAAAATTGCAACAGTTGAAATTTGATTAAAACAGAAATATGATAAACATAGAAAGACTTGACAATTTATTGCTCAGCTCAAGTATGTATTTGATATGCAGTACTGTACTCTTTGTTGCTTTCTTGCATTTTTTAAAAATTGGACCTGAAATTCAAGTACTATGAGCAATAAGTTGGTAAAAATAAATTGCATTCAATGAAGATGCGCACAACATTTTAAAAGTTTATTTCCAATTAATGTTGAAATGCTTCTTTGATGAAAAAAAACTCATATTGAAATGTGATTGCTGTCTCATAGTGATAAATTGCTGAAATTCATGCAGTTTTTGCTTGGATATTTTTGTTTTCATTCTGAAAATCTTTAAATAAAGACAATTCTT